TAAGCAAAATGAATATAGCAATATCTTCTCTCTTGATGTCAAAAACATTTCAAGATCAGGGGGTGGATGTTTGGCACAGTGGCTGACACCACTTGTGGTGCCCACATCCCATATTGGAGTGCCTGGGTTTGAGTCCCAGCACTGCCTCCAACTCCAGCTTCCTGCTAATGTGCACCCTGGGAGGCAACAAGTGATGCCCACACACCTGAGTCCCTGCCACCCATGTGGGAGACCTGGATTGAGATCCTAGATCCCAGCTTTGGCCTGGTCCAGCCCCAGCCATTATCAGCATTTGAGGAGTGAATCAGAGGATTGGTGATCTCTCTCTCTCTCTCTTTCTCTCTCTCTTTCTCTGGAGCTCTCAAATAAATAGAATAAATAAAAATAAAGCATTTCAAGATATGTTCAAGGAAGCCACCAAGATGTGTGAGCATCATTTGTAAGCTCTTAAACTCTACACGACTCTAATAGGGAAACTGCACAGGGCCAGGCTGTTGGCAGAGGCTGAGCAGGTTACTGCTGCCATCAACTGGGGGTGGCAGGTGAGCTCCTCTTATGCTGTGGCTTCATGTGGTCCTCAGAATGGAGACAGTGTTGCTCACCGTGGCCTCCAGGCCCTGCAAGGTCTGCTCTTTGCTGCACCAGCCTCAGCTTATACATTTTCCTCTGGCCCAGCCTTTATCTCCCAGGAAGCAAGTCCGTCCTTCGGGTTCTTAGGGTCCAGGATCCCTGTCTAGGTCACACTCCTCCAGTTGCCCCATCTGTCATGTGTCAGTTACAACTGGCACTTTCCTGAGGGGTTTTCCACATGTCTCTCTCTCCCTTACTTGCCTGAATAAGGAGAGGGGAGACATTCTGTCTTCCTGTTTTCTCCTTGGCTCCTAGCATAGGGCCAGGCACCTGGCAGGTGCTTCATAAATCGTTGTTAAATGGAAGACTAATGGTCAGATGGATGAGTGACAGATGGCTCCTTCCTGTAAACACTGTGGGGGCAAGAAAACACTTAGATATGTGAGCCTTACCCTGACTGAAACTGGACCCAAAGGGCTTCGAAAGCAGATTTCTGACTTAACAGAGAAAGCCAGCAAATGTCTCCCTATGTACTCAGAGGTGTTTACCTACTGGTTATTTGGATATGTTTCATTTAAATTTTTTAAAAATTTTTTCTGTATCAATTTTTCCTTTTTATTTGAAAGGTAGATTGCAGGTTCACTCCCCAAATGCCTACAGCAGCTGGAATTAGGCCATGCTGAAGTCCAGAGCCTGGAACTCAATCCAGGTCTCCCAGGTGTGAGGCAGGGACCCAAGTTTTTAAGCCAACACCATTGTCTCCAGGATGGGCCTTGGCAGGAAGTTGGATCAGAGGCAGAATCTGGAACTGCAGCCAGGCACTCCACGATGGGATGCAGGCATTCCAAGCAGTGTCTTAACCACTGTGCCCAACTCCCACCCCAGTCAAAATAGCATGAAGAAAAGGAAAGGCCGGCGCCGCGGTTCACTAGGCTAATCCTCCGCCTAGCAGCACCGGCACACCGGGTTCTAGTCCCGGTCGGGGCGCCGGATTCTGTCCCGGTTGCTCCTCTTCCAGGCCAGCTCTCTGCTGTGGCCCGGGAGTGCAGTGGAGGATGGCCCAAGTGCTTGGGCCCTGCACCCACATGGGAGACCAGGAGGAAGCACCTGGCTCCTGGTTTCGGATCGGCACAGGGCCAGCCGTAGCGGCCATTTGGGGAGTGAACCAACAGAAGGAAAACCTTTCTCTCTGTCTCTCTCTCTGTCTATCTATGCCTGAAAAAAAAAAAAAAAAAAAAAAAAAGAAAGAAAAGAAAAGGAAAGGACATTTCCAGAGAAACGATGACCCCAGAGAAGCCTACTCTGTGTCAAAAGGTCAGTTGGGCCGGTGCTGTGGTGTAGCAGGTAAAGCTGCCACCTGCAATGCTGGCATCCCAGATGAATGCCAGTTCAAGTCCCAGCTGTTCCACTTCTGATCCAGCTTCTTGCTAATGCACCTGGTGGAGCAGTGGAAGATGGCTCAAGTGCTTGGGTCCCTGCACCCACGTGTTAGACCTGGAAGAAGCTCCTGGCTTTGGATCAGCGCAGCTCCAGCCATTGCGGCCATCTGGGGAATGAATCAGCGGATGGAAGACCTCTCTCTCTCTCTGCCTCTCCTTCTCTCTCCATATAACTCTGGCTTTCAAGTAAATAAATAAATCTTTTTTTAAATATTTGTTTATTTGAAGGGGATGGTTTCACAGAGAGGTCTTCCAACCGCTGGTTCAATCTCCAAGTGGCCTCAACAGCCTGGGCTGGGCCAGGCCCCGAAGCCAGGAGCCAGTAGCATCACCCAGGTCTCCCACATGGGTGACAGGGGCCCAGACATTGGACCATCTTCTGATGCTTTTCCCAGGCCATTAGCAGGGAGCTGGATGGGAAGTAGAGCAGCCAGGACACAAGCTGGTACCCAAATAGGAAGTGAGCATTGCAGGTGGCGGCTGTACCCTCTATGCTACAACGCCGGCCCCTATGTGGTACCTCTCTAAGGAAGGATCTGGCCTGGGCTGCTTTGATGAATTTGCTTATCCTTGTGTTGGCATGAGCAGTAGCTACTTCACGATCCCAGGGCTGTTTCATCAAGAGGCACAAGGCATTGTGGGACCTCAGGGCTGAGCTGGGAATGTGCAGCTACACCTGGGGGAGGGAGAGTCTGGCCGACACTGTGAGACCTCTGAACCTGAAGTGACCTATTTGGGGACAGTGGGAACTGACCAATGACAATAGCTGTCCTCCTGGTGGAACTTGCTGGCTGGGTCTTTGGTGAGTCTTCAAGTGATTATGGAAGTGGGGGGAACGGATGGTCTTTAGGAGAACAGGGTGGATATGCAGAGTGATTGCAGCTGACAGACAGGTTCATGAGTAACATGAGGCTCCTCCTTGAGGACTTGCAGAAATGCCTGAGAAACAGCTGGGGTGGGGTTGTAAGAAGAGAACCTGCCAGTGCAGGTAGGGCAAGCAAAGGAACTTGAGTTATTTGAAAGGGACTTCCTATGCAGCCACAGCCTGCGTAAGGCTGCTGCCATTTGGGCTAAAACTGAAGGCATTTGGCTGACACCGCGGCTCACTAGGCTAATCCTCCACCTGCAGCGCCGGCAGCCCAGGTTCTAGTCCCGGTTGGGGTGCCAGATTCTGTCCCGGTTGCTCCTCTTCCAGTCCAGCTCTCTGATGTGACCTGGGAAGGCAGTGGAGGATGGCCCAAGTGCTTGGGCCCTGCACCCGCATGGGAGATCAGGAGGAAGCACCTGGCTCCTGGCTTCGGATCAGCTCAGCGCACTGGCCATAGTGGCCATTTGAGGGGTGAACCAATGGAAGGAAGACCTTTCTCTCTGTCTCTCTCTCTGTCTAACTCTGCCTGTCAAAAAAAAAAACAAAAAAACTGAAGGCATGTATACTATAATTGTGCATGTGGGGAGAGACATCTCGCATGATCATGTTGAGCAATACGGGGGCACACTCAAAACTTTCCTAGTTTTAGCACTGAAAGTACCCAGTCCCTGGCAAACCAGGAGGGTGGCTACCCCACCACTCACTCTCGCTAACCATTGTCTTCTGATACAAAGATAGCTCACAGAAACAAGACTATGTCTCCCCTTTGGGATAAAGAAAGAATCTCCAGGGGCTGCTGTTGTGCTGTAGAGGGTAAAACTGCTGCCTGCAATGCTGGGCATCCCCTATGGGTGATGGTTCATGTCCCACCTGCACCATCTCCTATCCAGCTCCTTGCTAATGGCCTGGGGAAAGCAACAGAAGATGGCACAAGATTTTGGTCCCCTGCTACCCATGTGGGAGACCCAGATGAAGCTCCTGGCTTTAGCCTGGTTCAGCTCCTGCTGTTGCGGCCAGCTGGGGAGTGAACCAGCAGATGGAAGATCTCTCATCTCTCTCTCTCTCTCTCCCTCTTTCTGTAACTCTGACTTTCAAATAAATAAATATTTTTTTTTATTTTTAGACAGGCAGAGTGGACAGTGAGAGAGAGAGACTGAGAGAAAGGTCTTCCCTTTTTCCATTGGTTCACCCCCCAATGGCCACTGCAGCTGGCGCACCGCGCTGATCCAAAGCCAGGAGCCAGGTGCTTCTCCTGGTCTCCCATGCGGGTGCAGGGCCCAAGCACTTGGGCCATCCTCCACTGCCCTCCCGGGCCACAGCAGAGAGCTGGACTGGAAGAGGAGCAACTGGGACAGAATCCGGTGCCCCAACCGGGACTAGAATCCAGTGTGCTGGCGCCACAGGCGGAGGATTAGCCTATTGAACCACGGCGCCGGCCAATCTTTTTTTTTTTTAAAAAAGAATCTACAAAGGAGTGGGTGGCAGTGCTGTGGTATAGCAGTTAAGCTGCCATTTATACACCAGCATCCCACATCAGAGTACTGGTTTGAGTCCTGGATGCTCAGTAGCTGCTTGCTACTTGGACACCTGCCAACCACATGGGAAACCTGAATGGAGTTACTGGTTCCTGGCTTTGGCCTGGCCCAACCCTGGCTGTTGTGGTCATTTGAGGAGTGAACCAGTGGATGGGCGGGGGCCAGGAGCCAGGAGCCAGGAGCCAGGAGCTTCTTCTGGGTCTCCCACATGGGTGCATGGGCCCAAGCACTTGGGCCATCTTCCACTGCTTTCCCAGGCCATTAGCAGAGAGCTAGATTGGAAGTGGAGCAGCTAGGACTCGAACTGGTGCCCATATGGGATATTGGTGCCACAGAGCTGGCCTCAAGAATTTCTACCTTAAGGGACTATTCTAGGCCAGTTCTTCATTTTCCTTTACCAAGGCACATTTGTCTGCTTTCCTGGCTCTACTTACAGTGTCTCTTCACATCATATTTTCTCTGATGGATGCAATTTTGCAATCCGTTGTCCTCAGTAATAAAAAGATCAAGTATACAAGTAATATTATGAGTTTAAAAGTATTTCTATATGAATAAAATCTCCAGTAAGAAAACTGTGTTTATTAGACATTTTCTCTGATTTTTCATCCCAAAGTTGACAAATTGGAGGGTGAGCACCACCCCTAGAATGAAGCCCACAAATATGAAGTGATGGAGGGTGAGGAAGAGGAAGGGCTCTGCTGACCTTCCTTTGGCCAGAGACCCCCTGACAGGAGCCAGTCCTAGATGACCAGGCTCCTAGGTCTTGGTGTGAGGTGGAAGGAGCCGTCTGAGTCCTGCATGGGAGCACAGAGTGGAGGGGCTGTAGGCCCAGCCAGCCAGGGAGAAGGCACATCTTCTTTCCCCAGGCAGGCTGAGAAGATGAGGAGGAGTCCACCAAGAGCAAGGCCAACCCCAGCAGCCCAGCCCAGGAAGAGGGCATCTCCAAACTCCCACCGAGGCACAATCTCAGGCACACTGTCATCCCAGAAGTCTCGGATCGTGCCGTAGGCCACCCAGGAGACTGGAAAGAGGGTGGTGGCTGAAGCTGATACCTCCAAGGTCCCTCCCAAAAGGCAAAGCTGCCTCTTGCAAACCCATTTCATCTTGTGAAACTGGAAGCATTCCAACCCACAGGCAGAGAGGAGAAGCCCCAGCAGTCCCAGCACGTGGGAGGCTACCATGAGGATGCGGGATACCTGGAGCTCCAGGGGCAGAGACAGGAAGGACTCAAAGGCCTTGCACACAGTGGCGACCTCCTCCTGAGTCACGCAGGCCTCCCAGAGCCCCATGATCCAGGTCTCCATCTCGTTCAGTTCCAGATTGAGAGTCTTCCACTGGGGCAGGGCGGTGCTGACGCATGAGCAGACCCAGCCAAGGAGAGAGAGCAGCAGTCCTCCAAGCTGGACTTTGCCACGGAAGCTCCAGGCCATGGTTGTTCCTGCCACACAGGCAAAGGGAGAAGGAGGAGAGGGGCCTCGGGGACTGCTTTTCAGAGGCTTGCGTCAAAGCTCTTTCACGTGTGCAGAGCGTTCCCGTGTTAGTCTCCTGGGCAGCAGCTGAGGCAGGTGCCAGGGACTTGACACTGTTTGGATTTAGGGGGTGTGTCCAAGACTGAATGTGGGTGTGGAACCAAGGGGAGGGTCCCAGGAGTGGCAAAAAGCCAGCCAGTAAGCCATCAATATATATTTGAAGAATAATTTATATGCTTAAAGTTTAAATAGCTCTCCAGCTCTGAGATCAAAGACTGATGTTCTGGAAACACACATTGATAGAATCTTTCTGGAGGGTAAATGACTTTTTCATGTTCCGTACTTTTAAATATATTCATGCTTTGGTCCAGCACCTTATCTCCAGAAACGCATCTATGTGCTTGTGATTATATGCAATGGCTTATGAAAATGCCCATTGAAATATTGTTAATTATAAATTTTGGTTAATATCAGGCAGCCCTTTTTTTTTTTTTTTTTTTTTTTTTTTTTTTTTTTTTGACAGGCAGCGTGGACAGTGAGAGAGAGAGAGACAGAGAGAAAGGTCTTCCTTTACCGTTGGTTCACTCCCCAATGGCCGCTCCGGCAGGTGCGCTGTGATCGGCTCACCATGCTGATCCGAAGCCAGGAGTCAGGTACTTCTCCTGGTCTCCCATGTGGATGCAGGGCCCAAGCACTTGGGACATTCTCCACTGCACTCCCAGGCCACAGCAGAGAGCTGGCCTGGAAGAGGAGCAACCGGGACAGAATCCGGCGCCCCGACCGGGACTAGAACCCGGTGTGCCGGCACTGCAGGTGGAGGATGAGCCTGTTGAGCCGCGGCGCCAGCCACCAGGTAGCCTTTGTAAAATGATGTTGTGGAAGAAATTGAAATGCCACGAACAATGTTGATATGTTGTTAGATGAGAAAAGCGGATGAGCAAGCAAAGCAATCTATAGAATACAATTTCTTTTTCATAAGAAAGTGCCCATGTGGTGGGGCAGGATGCAGGTGTCTGGCACAGCAGTTAGGATATATTTGAGTGTCTGGATTTGGGTCCCGGTTCCACTTCCAATTTCAGTTTCCTGCTACTGTGCACTCAGTAAGGCAGCAGGTGATGCTCAAGTTTGTGGGTCCCTGCCACCTACATGGGAGACCAGTATTGAATTCCCAGTCCCAGCCTGGGCTGTTGAGAGCATTTGGGAAGTGAACCAGTGGGTGGAAGACCTGTCTCTGTTTCAGTATATTTGTGTCTCTCTGCCTTTCAAATAAATGAAAAAAAAAATACGGGAAGAAGATGAAGCTCTTTTTTTTAAACAGCAGGTGTTGTGACGAGTGTTGTGGCATAATGGTTAAAAGCCGCCTACAGTGCTGATATCCTATGTGGGTGCTGGTTCAAAGCCCAGCTGCTCCGCTTCTGATTCAGCTCCCTGCTAATGTGCTCAGGAAAGCAGCAGAAGCTGACCCAAGTGTTTGACCCCTTCCACCCATGTGGGAGACCTGGAAGAAGCTCCTGGCTCCTGACTTCAGCATGGCCCAGCCCCAGCCATGGTGGCCATTTGAGAAGTGAATCAGCACTCTCTCTCTTTCCCACTCTCTCTGTAACTGTCTTTCAAATAAATAAATCTTAAAATATAAAGTATGAATGTGTATGTATGTGTGTTACCACAAAATGTTGACCATGGATTTTTTTGGTGGTAGGATTTTAGGTAGTTTTCATTCCCTTATTTGTTCTTATCTATGTATTTTATAAATTTATCATTTAAAATTTTTATAAACAGAGAGACCCACAAATATTATTATTTTCTAACAAAACGTGAAAATGTCCCAGTGCATAGCCCCTGGTGGGGCTAGGACAATGCTATAAATAGGTGGAACCAAACCAGCTTTCATCTGAGTTTGCTGCTGCCGCTGCCAGGTGGCAGGTTCTGACAGGACAGAAATACTTCTATGTTTTCTGAGAGCGGCTAAATGCCAGACGTTCGTCGAGACTCTTTATCTGTGTTTAGTTTTCCTGCTGCCACTGGGCGATGCAAGTTAGGTTACTTGCCTAGGACCCCAGCTGACAGGCAACAGATCCCACCTCTGCACCAGGCAGCTTGCACTGGGACTACATGCTCTTGTCTCTGGGCTGCAGCAGTTTCTTCTGCCGTGCCCTGCACCCTGGAGACATCAAGCATGTGGGTAAGAGTCTGTCGTTGTGGCAGAACATAGAAGACTGAGTTTATGATGCTGAAGTCACAAGTCGCTGATCTGGGTGTTGGCCTGTTTATAATGTAGCCTACTGCACAGCACATGGCAAATACCAAGTGGAAGCAGAGGTATGGGCCGGTTGCCAAGAAGGATGCATTTCTTGAGAAGGAAGAATCTTAAGGTTATCAGTTATATGACAGAGGCAAGCAGTATCCTCTGGAATGCTTTTTTTCCCTTTTGTATTTGATTACAGAAAATAGAGCAAATGATATAAAAAAAATTCCGATATTTCATTGCTAAGCTTCAAAAATGACCCACTCAGGCCTAGTGCTGTGGTATAGCAGGTTAAGCCAGGGTGCCTGCAACTCCGGCATTCCATATCAGAGCACAGGTCAAGTCCCAGCTGCTCCACTTCTGATCCAGCTCCCTGCTAATATGCCAGGAAAAGCAGCAGAAGATGGCCCAATGCTTGGGCTCTTGCTACCCATCTGGGAGACACAGATGGAATTCCATGCTCCTGGCTTTGGCCTGGACTAGCCCTGGCTGTTGTGGCCATTTGGGGAATGAGCCAGCAATGGAAGATCTTTCTCTCTGCCTTTCGTATAAATACATTTAAAGAATGACCCACTCACACCAGTCTTGTTTCATGCATTCTATTTTGAAGCAAATGGGATACTCCTTCAAACTGTAGCTTCAATCACATGTGCTAATCAACATGAGAGCAAATACTATCCAAATTCGGAAATGCCATCTGCTTATACTATCCCTGGCCAGACTTGTATGTTTGATACACTACTTCCTGAAGAAGGGTATGTCTCATTATGTGTGAGCCATGATATGTTGCAAAGAATCTTTGTGGAAATTGTTCCTATTTCTCTACCTTCCTGGTGGTTTACAAACATCTACGCATTGGGAAACACAAATGAATGAATGAATAAAATGGTGAATTTTAGAGTGTGTAGCCTAGTTAAGATGTCTGCATCTGGCCGGCACCACGGCTCACTAGGCTAATCCTCCACCTGCGGTGCCGGCACCCAGGTTCTAGTCCCGGTTGGGGCACCAGATTCTGTCCCGGTTGCTCCTCTTCCAGTCCAGCTCTCTGCTGTGGCCCGGGAGGGCAGTGGAGGATGGCCCAAGTGCTTGGGCCCTGCACCCGCATGGGAGACCAGGAGAAGCACCTGGCTCCTGGCTTTGGATCGGCATGGCGCACCAGCCGCAGCATGCTGGCCATAGTGGCCATTTGGGGGGGTGAACCAACGGAAGGAAGACCTTTCTATCTGTCTCTCTCACTGTCGAACTCTGCCTGTCAAAAAAAAGCCTGCATCCCTAGCCACTGGCACTGTGGCACAGCAGAGAAAGCTGACACCACAGTGCCTGCATCCCATATGGGTGCCAGTTCAAGTCCCGACTGAGTCCTGCTGCTCCACTTCCAATGCAGCTCTCTGCTATGGCCTGGGAAAGCAGTAGAAGATGGTCCAAGTCCTTGGGCCCCTGCACCCATGTGGGAGACCCAGAAGAAGCTCCTGGCTCCTGGCTTCAGATCAGCCCAGTTCCGACCATTTGGGGAGTGAACCAGCAGATAGAAGACCTCTCTCTCTCTCTGCCTCTCCTTCTCTCTCTGTGAAACTCTAACTTTCAAATATTTGAGAGAGACAGAGACAGAGGCAGAGAAAGACCTTCCAATAATCTACTGGTTCACTCCCCAAATGCCCACAACAGTTGGGACCAGACCAGGCCAAAGCCAGGAGCCAGGACCTCCATCCAGGCCTCCCGTGTGAGTGACAGGGATCCAAGTAATTGAACCATCACCTGCTGCCTCCAAGGTTTGTGCATTAGCAGGAAGCTGGAATTGGAAGCAGAGCTGGTACTGTAACACAGGCACTCAAATGTGGGATGCTGACATCCCAAGTGACTACTTACTCATCTTTAACTCAGAGTCCTTCCTTTCTCTATGACTGTATCAGGGAGCTTCAAAAAGTTCATGGGAAATGGAATTGAAAGATGCTTATTTCAGTGCAAAAACTTTCGAAACTCTTGCATATGAGGTTTCAAAATTTCATGGAAATTCACGTTATGAGTATGCATAAATTTAAAATTTTGTACCAAAATATTTATCTTTTTTATTCCATTTTCCACAAACTTTTTGAAGTAATGTGGGTCCACACCTCATCTGCCTTTAAAGTAGTAATTATTAGTCTTTCTGTGATTATTTATTCACTCCTTTGGGTCCTCAGACCTAGCCCAGCACCTATGATGTAGTAATCGTTCAATACATATGCAATACAAATTTTAAGGAATTTCATCTGTAGGTTGCTCCTTGTCACCAGGCATTCATTCTTAGTGCCATTTAGAATTCAAGGGCTGGCAAGTCTACCAAACAGGTGCCTTGACTGTCCTTCAATGCTTCTCGTCTCAACACCAGTTTCATTGCCTTTATTCATGGTACAGGATAACGAAGCTGCCTTTACTTTACTAAGATGAGATTGTTTCACACATACTTAAAACTGGCAGGGACATTAGGGTCAGCATTTACTTGGGGTCAATTATCATAAAATATTTTTTTAAAAAATTAAAGTAGTGCATATTTATTACAGAAAAACAGCAAAACAGGGAAAACACATAAACACTGTATGAGACCACTGTGCAGAGAAATAATTTGGTGTATATCCTTTATTATTCTATATGCATATTTATATCTATTTATATTTCTGTATGCAATATATTTAAGTAATGCAAATTTTAAAATTTTCATAAAACCAATTTATAATCTTTGATAGAAAGCCCACTCTACACAGGACTAATGTTTTTCACACTCCGGTAATATAAATATGCATTCCAGAAATATACGTACACAAATGTAAACTATGTAACATAAAAGGAGCGCAATTATAGGTAGCCTTTTATATATAACGAGTTGACGCCAATTCGTTG